GGCCCCCTATTGGAGTGTGCGGGGTGAGGGTGCGGGAGGAGGGGGCGGACGAGGGTGCGGGGTGAGGGTGCGGGAGGAAGGAATTGGAGTGTGCGGGGTGGGGGTGCGGGAGGATCGGGCGGGACGAAAGGGGGGGGTTACGAATTTTGCTGCATGCAGCTGGTTTCGGCCCCACGAGGGGCCCACTCCTCGATACATGGCCGCCTCCGGCGCCGGGAGGCGCCGGGAAAATCAGCAACGCGAGCTGATTCTCAACCCCCCCCTTTGCTATCCCCCCCTTTCGCCCGACCCGAGAGGAGGGGGCGACATGGCGTTGGACAGAGGGTGATGGTAATCATGCCTGCGGTGGTTGTGACGATTGTGGTGGTGCTGGCGGTGGCGATGACGACGACGACGACGACGAGGATGCTGCTTCTGCTGCTGCTTGTTATGATGATGACGATGATGATGATGATGGTGATGATGATGATGATGATGATGATGATGATGATGATGGTGATGATGACAAACAATAAGGATCAACATAATGAGACTATGACACATACTATATTGCGAGTATGACGACAATGGCGGTGACGGCGAGGAGGAGGATGAGCATGATGACGATGCTGATGCTGCTGGTGATGATGATGCTGATGAGGATGATGAGGATGATGAGGAGGAGGCGAATGCTGATGATCATGCTCACGATGCTGATGATGATGCTGATGATGATGGTGAGGATGATGATGAGGATGAGGATGACGATGCTGATGATGCTGCTGATGATGACGATGATTCTGATTCTAATGATGATGCTGATGACAATGATGATGATGATGATGATGATGCTGATGATGATGATGATGATGATGATGACGATGATGATGATGATGATGATGATGATGATGATCGATGATTATGGTAAGGATGATGACGATGATTATGCCGATGGTAATCATGATGCTGATAATGCTGATGATAAAGATGATGCTGATACCTGTGCGTCTGATGATGGTTATTATTATGATGATGCTGATGATGCTGCTGCTGATGATTAGGATGATGTTGATTATGATTATCATGATGGTGATTATGTAGATGGTGAGGATGAGGATTGGGATGAGGATGACAATGCGTATGATGATGATGATGATGATGATGATGATGATGATGATGATGATGATGATGATGATGATGATGATGATGATGATGATGATGATGATGATGATGATGCCGACGGCGATGATGATGCTGATGATGATAAGGATGATGATGCTGCTACTGATTCTATAGGCTTACGCCACATCCGCCGACCCCTCATCTTGGCGGTCTTGCCGGAACCTCGGGTTCACAGCCCGCAGTTGCCAGGCGTATCAGTGCGGCGGCGCGTGCAAGAGAAGACTACCGACGTCGGCGTTCTCCGGGAACCCTGCCAACGTCGCACGCGATGCAAAAAAGGGCACCCTGATATGCAAGACCTGCAAATGATGCCCAATCGGGGGCGCGCGTGCGGGGGAGGACAGGGGGGAGGGGGAGAGAGGGATGGGGGGTGAGGCGGAGGATGGGGGGAGAAGAATCGGGGAGGAAGAGGAGGAGGCGGGGGAGGAAGAGGAGGAGTGGGCGAGGAGGAGGTGGAGGAGGAGGAGAAGAGGGGGAGGACGGGGACACAGAGACGAAACTCTGGGATATGTGCTATTGGTTAGAAACTTGTTGTATGTGTATAGGGATCTCGCGGCACGCCTCTCGGGGACCTTTGGAAAGCAGTTTTGAACCCACCTGGCGGCCGAGGTGGAGGAGGAGGAGGAGGAGAAGGAGGAAGGGGACACAGAAACAAGGCTCTGGGTTATGGGTTTTGGGTTAGGGCCGTCTTGCACCAGCTTGGGACCAATTTGGAGACAGGTTTTGCCGTCTTGGGGTCGTCTTAGGCCGAATTGGGAGGCGTCCTGGGCCGTGTTGGGATTCTCTGGGGCCGTCTTGAGGCCCTCTTGGGGCGCCGTGGGGCGATCTTGGAGGCTCTTTGGGCTACGTGAGCCGACGGAAGCCGGGAAAGGCAACAATTGCAAACATGTTCAACAACGCAATGGAAATGTAATGAAATGCGTAATGTGCGCCTCTTTCAGATGTCCTGGGGGTCTTCTTGGAGACTTCGTGGGCGATAGTGAAAGCCTTGTCGGCCATCTTGAGGCCATTTTGGGCCGTCTTCGAACGTTCTTGGGCCGTGTTGGAGCCATCTTGGGCCGTTTTGGAGCCATCCTGGGCCGTTTTGGAGCAATCTTGGCCTCGAGAGCGCGAATCATTTTTTTGTGCGCAAACGCAACCCCGCCACCGTGCCTGGGTTGTTGATATGAGACTTGTGCGGTGATCGTTGGGATCTCTTGGGGGGCTTTTCGCGGGACTCTTGGAGGCAGTTTCGAAGCCTCTTGGGGGCCGTTTTGGAGCCTCTTGGGGGCCTCTTGGGGCCTCTTGTGGGCGTCTTGGGGGCCTCTTGGGGCCTCTTGGGGCCTTCTGGGGCCGCCTTGGGGCGGAAGGCTCGGATTGTCGGTTCGGGCTCCCCCTCTTGGGCACCTCTTGGGGCCGTCTTGGGGCCCTCTTGGGCTGTCTTGGGGGCCTCTTGGGCCGTCTTGGCGCCCTCCTGGGCCGACTTGGGCGCCTCTTGGGGGCCTCTCGGGGCGGTCTTGGGGTGCTCTGGGACCGTCTTCAACGCCGTGAAGGCCGAGAAGTAGTATGTGATCAAAATGTACGTTTTCCCATAGGAATTGACGATTTTCGGCGCTTCGGCCCTTCTGAGGACTGCTCTTGGAGGCGTCTTGGGCCGTCTTGGAGGCCTCTAGGCTCGTCTTGGGGGCATCTTGGGCGTCTGGGAGCGCTCGTTTGGCGCCTCGGAGCTCTCGTGAGCCGTCTTGGAGGAGTCTTGGGGCCTTCTTGGCCCGTCTTGATCCCCTTTTGGGCCCAAAAGAGCCCCGTGGTGCGCTCGTCTGCGGCCCGGGGGGGGGGGGTCAAATCTCCGGTTTGGGGTCCCAGGGGGGGGGTTAGGGGGGGGGAACTATCTCACACGCCTAGAGACCCACAAGGGGTCGGCGGATTATGATGATGATGATGGTGGTGGTGGTGATGATAATAATGCTGATGATGCTGCTGGTGATGATGATGATGATGATGATGATGATGATGATGATGATGCTGATGATGACGATGATGATGATGGTGATGAGGATGATGATGATGATGATGATGATGATGATGATGATGATGCTGATGTTGATGTTTGTTGTTTTTGTTGTTGATAATGATGATGATGTTCTTGTTGGTGGTGGTGATGTTGAACGGTGATGATCGGTGGTGATCGATGATGATGGTGATGATGGTGGTGGTGGTGGTGGCGGTGGCGATGATGATGATGAGCAGGAGGAGGAGGAGGAGGACGCGAAGGTCTGATCTCCCCTTCTCCCTCCATCCTGCCAGGTCCTCCTCCCTAGTCCTCGGCCGCGCCCCCCGTTCGCCTTCCGCAGAGGACCTCAAGGAGCTCAAGGTGCCGGTTCGCGTGGGCCAGTCGGTGGACATTACCGGCCAGGCACGGCTGCCTCCGGCGAGCCAGGGCGCTCAAGAGGGGGGTGAGGATTTCGTCGAAGAAGGACACTTGCATCGTCATTGCACCCCCCTTGCTTGCGCGCTGAGTGCGCCAGGGGCGGCGCCGGCGGCTCACTCGTCGGGCGCGGCGACCTCTGGCGCGGGGGCCTGCTTCCGCCGTCGTCTTTTGCTCCTCGCCGCCGCCGCCGCCGTCGACGTGAGCGTCGTTCTCGTCGTGGTCGTGGGCGTCGTGGTCGTCGTTGTCTTGGTCGTGGTCGTCGTCGTCTTGGCCGTCGTCTCGTCCCCAGATGCTCTCCAGTGGCTGCGCTTCGTTGGGGGCTTTTTCGGGGGGTCCCCGAGTCGTCGCGGGGGGCCGGCGGGAGGACCGAGTTGTACCCCCAGGAGCACTGGGCGTCAAGGAGGGGGGGGAGGACGAGGGGTGTGTCTGTGTGTACATATATATATATATATATATATATATATATGTTTGTGTGTGAGTGTCAGTGTATGTATGTATGTATGTATGTATGTATGTATGTATGTATGTATGTATGTATGTTTATATGTTTGTATGTATGTATGTATGTATGCATGCATGCATGCATGCACGCATGCATGCATGTATGCATGTATGTATGTATGTATGTATGTATGTATGTATGTATGTATGTATGTATGTATGTATGTATGTGTGTAGGTGTGTATGTGTGTATGCATGTATGTGTGTATGTATGTTTGTATGTATGTATGTATGTATGTATGTATGTATGTTTGTTTGTTTGTATGTATGTATGTATGTATGTATGTATGTATGTATGTAGGTGTGTATGTATGTATGGATGTATGGATGTATGGATGTATGGATGTATGGATGTATGGATGTATGGATGTATGGATGTATGGATGTATGGATGTATGGATGTATGGATGTACGGATGTATGGATGTATGGATGTATGGATGTATGCATGTATGTATGCATGGATGCATGCATGCATGCATGCATGAATACTTAGTAGTAGTTCGATCGCAGTTAGTACTTCCATCTGCTGCTCGTTCCTGAGTGCCTTCTGCTCCGCTGATTTCAAAAGTGTGCCTTTCCACACCAATTTGCTTAGCAGCGTTTTTGTTGCGCTTCGCCGCCTATCACAGCTCGGGTGATTCAGTGGCCGTACTTTGCTCCAGGCTGTCGTTATTCAGTTCACTTTGAGTCGAGTATTCTCCTCGCTTTCTGGCCGCTGCATGGTTTATTTGGACGTACAGTTCCTCTAAAACTCATCGCTTGCATGTTGCAGTGTGTTACGTTTTGTACGCTGCGCTATCGGCAAAGCTCGGTCGCAGTTAACAGCTCCATCTGCCGTTCGTACTTAAGGGTCCTCCGCGCCGCTGACTAAATCATGTGTGTGAACGTGGCCGTGATGGAAGGGGCCATAACATCTCCCTGATATCATGGTCCCCCCTGTTCTTTCAGCACGTCCTGTGCCCCCCCTCGTCTGCGCACGTGTCTCGTGCCATGCTGTGCCGACCCCCCCTCTTCCTGCCCCCCCCCCTCTTCTGCGCATCTGAGATGAGGATGCGACGAAGCACAAACGTCATGAACACGAAGTGTCGGAGGTCCGCACGGACTTCATGCCTCGGCGCTCCAGCCCCCTCCGGCGCCGCCGCTGGCGCGTTCCGCGCGCCAGGGGGTGGTGGTCAGCGCCGATCTTCAGAGCGTGAATTGCCTACCCCGCTTTCGCTTCCAGGGAAAACCGAGCCATACCACGCGCCTCCTCGTCAAGCGGCCTGACCAGTACAGGCTGCAATTTGGCATCGTTTGGTATCTCTTGGAAGCGAGGGTGGTCAAAAGCGAGGTAGGTTTGTTTTTCTTATAGATCTGGTAACTCGGCGCCGACCTCCGAAGAGGTTCTGCTCATGCTGCTCTGTCTTCTGAGGCAGCTGGTGTTCACCAGTGGGTGGTAGTCAGGCACTTTGTGGGCCCCGGAAACGGCAGGGCCGTTTTTTCACCGTTTCCCAAAAAACCCTTGAAAGTGGAAAACGGCAAAGAAACGGCGACCGGAAACGGCAACAAAACGGCTCCAGGATTGGAGCTGGAGCTGGAACTGGTCAAAAAGCGGCGACGGAACCGGTAAAAAAACGGCGTCGGAACCGGCAAAAAACGGCAAAACGGGACCGGTAACAAAACGGCTCTGTCGTTTCCAGGGCCCACTAAGGTCAGGCAGGCCCAGGAAGAGGATGAAGCCGTTGCAAAGATCTCTGGGGCCCTCGCGGAGCGTTCCACAGGGCGCTGTGGAGTTGAAGCGGCCGCGACGCCCGGTGCGTCCTCCAGACCTGCCAGCTCTCAGATACTCCTGGTTGTGGTTGATGGCGACACGGTGCCTGTGCCGTAGACGCCCTCGGCCGGAGGCCGAGAAAGTAGTTGGAGGTGTAGAAAATGCCGGCCATACGTCGCCTTAAGCCACACCCGGCCGGAGGCAGAAGAAGTGGCGAAGGACCACAGATCACCCGCCTTCGGCGCGACGACAATCGCCCTTGGCGCGTCGCGGCCTGGGCTCAGGGGTGCCCTTCTCTCCAGTGGCGGCGGCGCGAAGGCGCGACGAGAGTTGCGCTTCGCGCATCGCGGGGCGCGACGTGCGAAGTTAGGTGGCCTGGCCGATCGTCTAGATCCGAACTTTGTTTCACTTTGCTTTCGTCTCAGGCAGAGGGCGAGGGGCTATGATGGGGGGGCAGGCGGCGGTCACCAGCGATGCGAAGAGGGGCGTAGGAGGGGCGAGGAGCCGAAGGAGCGGCGATGACCGCAGGAGGGAGGGGGAGCGAATAGGAGATAAGAGGGGGAGGACGGGGGAGGAGGAGGACGAGGAGGAGGAGGAGGAGGACGAAGAGGAGGAGGTGGAGGAGGTGGAGGAAGAGCAGGAAGACGAGCAGGAGGAGCAGGAGGAGGAGGAGGGAGGGGAGGAGGAGGAGTGGGGAGGGAGGGGGGAGGAGGAGGAGGAGGAGGAGGAGGAGGAGGAGGAGGAGGAGGAGGAGGAGGAGGAGGAGTTCCCTGCTTCCGTTCCTTGTCCCCCTTTCCTCCTTCGCCCCTCCCTCTCCCCTCGCTGCATTGCCCCCCTCTTCATGCTGTGTCACTGTGATTGGTTGGTCTCCGCGCGTCGCCGCCCTTCCCCTGTTTCCCTCGACCTCGCCCCTCGTCGGTTCGACCTCCTCCTCGTCCCTCCTCCGTCCTCTTCCCACCCCTCGTCGTCCTCCTCTTCCTCTTCTCCCCTCTTCTCGCCCGCTCGCTGCCTCCACGTTTTTCCTTCTCCTTATTGTTATTATTATTGTTATTATTATTATTATTATCATTATTATTATTATTCTCATTATTATTATTATTATTACTATTATTATTTATTATCATTAGTATCATTACTATTATGAATATCATTAATATTATCAATATCATTAATGTTATTTATATTATTACTATTATTAATAATTTCATTATTATTATTAGCATTATTATTATTATTATTCTTATTATTATTATTACCAACACTATTATTAGTATCCTTCTTCTTATCTTCCTTGTTGTTTGGTTGTTTCTTCGAGCTATTACTGTTCTGTTATCTTATTCCTCCTTCCTCCTTCGACCCTCCTTTCCTTTTTTTACCTCGATGCACTGCCGGTGGGGTGCCCCCAGTGCATGCTGCTGGCCCCACGGTCGACCTGGCCTGCTCACGCAGACACGCCTGCCTTGCCCTCGCCCTCCCCCTCAGGTCTATCTCGTTCCTCCTCCTCCTCCTCCTCCTCCTCCTCCTCCCCACCACCTCCTGCTCCTCCTCCTCCTGCTTCTTCTCCTCCCTCTCCTCCTCCTCCCCCTCCTCCTCCTCCTCCTCCTCCTCCATTCCTTCTCTTATACGTCATTTCTTCCTGTTGCACCCCGAGGCCAGTTTTTAGGGCGGGCCAGGCTTTT